AGTCTTACTCCTTAGTGGGAATTCACTCCAAATGTGAAGCCGATGTCTCTTAATCTTCTCCCCACCCCCAGGATTACAGTGCCATCACAGAGACACGGTCAGCTGAGAGAAGAGGAGGAAGGAATTTCCTCACTTTCTTATCCAGACCTCTGAGCAGCAAATGCTGAGAGAGGAGCACAACTGGTACTGTTAACTGGGGAGGCAGAACACTGGGGGACCAGGTGAAGCTGCTGAGATGTGATTCACTTCAGACTGCTTTGTTTGTGATAGGAACTGTAATTTGGAAGGTGAAGACCAATACATGAAAAAAACCCAAAAGGAAGCAAAATAAAAACAAGAAAAACCCAAACAAACAAATGAACCCAACAAATCAAGATCTGTTGCATGGGGATGAAATTGTTTCTCAATAAAGCAAAGGGTTTCGCTGCTCTCTTCACCACTCTGGTCTTGTGAATATAGTAGATGTGTAACCCCCTCCTTAATCTGGTTGGGCAACAACCAAGGATCAGCATAGTACATTGGCTTTTTACACAAACTAGAATGGGGTTCCCTCCATCTGGAAAAAGTAGTGCTGAATGACTATCTTATGTTGAGACAGCACCTATCCCTCCTGATTCCAGTGGGATATATGTCTTAAGTTCAATAGAATGGTTCCACAGTCCTGTTCATATGATATTTGAATCTTTTCAGCTCCAAAAGTCAGAATTGCATTTCTGCGTCTTTCCTCTTGCACCTAGTTCAGTGACTTCAGTCTTTTAATCTTTTATCTTTAATTTGAGGAAACTTTTTCTGCTCTTTTATTGTTCCTTGTGTCCATGGTGACTTGCTGTTATTCCACTGGAATCAAACCCCTATTTACTTTCTCTTCCTTATTCACATATCCTTATCACTACTTTCAGACTCATTTTCCTCCCCTCCCTTGCTTTGACTTTGATCCATTTTACTATTTGATCATTCTTATCCACTGATTCTCATTCCTGTGACTTCTGCTTCTTTTCAGATGCTTCCTCCCGCATTGTGGTTTTCTTCCTCCAGTAATGACCCTGCCCTTCTCAAATCTTTGTTTGCGAAGCCTAGCCATGAATGACCCTGCCTCTGAGTAGGACCCCTTATGCTTTTCCCCACTGAGAATTCTTAGCATTTGCAGCAAACAGGAGCCTGTGCCTTTATGTCTCCATCCCTACATGTTTCCTACTAGAACACACTGTCTCTTACTCTTCACTTTCTTTGCTTGAGTCATCTGATGGATTACAGAACCGATGTAGCCCCTTTCATCTCTTTTAGCACACCCTCCCACTTCCCCCCCCTCTCAGGCTCTCTTGTCAAATTATTTATAGGACATTGATTCACAGACCTGTTATGTCTAATTATATCCATTCACTTCTAATATGAATGGCAATTTTGCTAGGAGTTAAGATTGCCAAAAATGTTTTGACCTAAGAAAGAAGAGGTGGTGGCTACATATGCAGATCAGATCCTATAAAAGTAGTCTGGGATTGGTGTGTCATGTTCTTCCTCAGAAATCTCTAAGGTAAGAGTTTGAGGGGCTTGGGACTGGGGAAGTGGGGGATGAAGGAAAACTGGCCCTGCATTCCACAAGCACTAGTGCATTCCTATAGACGCTCACGTTTATTCAATGGGGGTCTGCCAGTGTCAGCTGGGATTTTCAGTCTGCTTTCAAGGCATCCATATGTTTTTAGTCTATAAATGTCTGGGGTGCAGCAGAAAGGAGGAAGTTACTAATTCTCTTTTTGAATACTGACCAGCTTCCAATCTACAACCCATTCAGCTTGTCTCACAAAAGGTAAGTTCTTGATTTATTCACTCTATAGGGGCAGGCAGAGTTGCTCTAAGGCAAGGATTGTGTGCGGGTGTAATCCCTGTATTCACTATATTTATATCCACTGTATAAATATAGTACGAGAACTGGGCTGGATTGGTGATATCTTTGTCACAAGATTCTTAAAGACAGTAATCTTAAAAGTACTGATCACTGCTGCACTGCCTACATTCTCCCCACCAATCTCCAATAGAGACCAGTTTCCTGGAGAAACTGCCCTAAGAAGAAAAACCCCATCAGAAAGTAGTTTCCAATTACTTGGTGGGGTTTTTTTGTATTTACCTCTAACATCAAGGGTAAGGTACTGGCTGTGAAGCAACAGGAAAAGACATACATATTTAAATAAAGTTAATATTTTCTTTTTTCGCATGGAAGCTTGAGAACAGGGTTAGAATTTTGCATATCAAAACACTAAAGTGATTAAAGCAAGCATTTCAGCCTGGGCTTCCTTATAGGCTTGTTTCTGCCTATGAATAAATTGCATAATTGTGACATAATTATATAAGCAAATATTTGTAATCACAGAGAACTGTGGAAATGATGATACCTACTGGGTTAACTGAAAAAAGAGAGATGGGATAGCAACTAAATTCAGAGTTTTAAATATTTGAACCCCCAAAATAAACTGCTCACATTTATTTTTTATGTTAATTTATATTAATTTTGTCAAGTATTGTCACTAGAATGTATCCCTCAAAATTATAAAATGCCAACAAGCAATCGTGTTAGGAATATAATCAGTATGCTTTGAATAAGTGGAGGAGAGTTACCATAGCACTGATTTCAGGAAAACTCACAACAGTCAAAAGAAAATAGTTTAATTCTTTTAAAAGTCAATATACTCACAAGTTGCATACATATATTATATGCTAACATAATGTGTACTGACCTACTATATATTATACTTTTAATAATACCATAAGGATATATTGTGATAAAAGCTTTCAGTGTCTATAAAAAAACACAATATACAATATATATGCAATGTACATAATATAAACGAAAATACTACAATATATAACATAATATATGCTGGCATAGTATATGCTAATATCTGTAATATGTTAATGTTATTCATCTTAGGAATAGTTATATGATTCCTGTTAGGAAACGGAAGGTATTATAGGCAATGTTAAAATTGCTGTTGAAAAACTGGGACCATTTTTCAACTGTATGTAATTATTTTGTGAAATTATCTCATTTGGGTCATAACGCATTAATTAAGTGGAAAAACATGTAGTTAGAAACAAAACCATGTCAGGAAATTGTACCCATTCATTTGAATTGATAGCACCTATTTGTGTCATGAAGTCTCTGCTGGCAGAGAAGGCAAAGTAATTTCTTTTTACATGTCAACAGGGAAAAATTGAGTAGAATGAATTTTATAGTGTACAAAAATACTGTGATCATTGTTAAGCTATTATTTCTGTTAGGCTAGCCATACTGCATACTAGGGTTCAGAAAAAAGTTTAAAAAATATTCTAAGTCCATAATATCCTTTCTGCAGTCAAAGTGAAAATGTTTCTCAAGGAAAAGTTAACCAATCACTTGATTTTCACCTAGATATCTGCAATAGATGAAAGTATTGATAAAAAAGTTAACTTCTTGATTTATTCAGAAAAGCTATTCAAAATCCAAATTGTAGGTGATGAACATACATAACATTAGGCTAAAAATACCCTGGATCATTTGGACCAGAATCATAGAGTGTTTTGGGTTGAAGGGACCTTAAAGATCATCTAGTTCCAACCCTCTGCTGTGGGCAGGAACACCTTCCACTAGACCAGGTTACTCAGGGTCCCATCCAGCTTGGCCTTGAACACTTCCAAAGGTGGGGCAGGCACAGCTTTTTTGGGCAGGCTGTGCCAGGGCCTCACCACCCTTGTTGTAAAGAGTATTCTTCCTTATATCTAATCTGAATGCATCCTATTTCAGTTGGAAGCCATTCTCCCTTGTCCTGTCAATCCAGGCCCTTGGCCAAAGTCCTTCTCCACCTCTCCACCTCTCCTGGAGCCCCTTTAGGCACTGCAAGGGGCTCTCAGGTCTCCTTGGAGCCTTCTCATCTCCAGCTGAATGCTCCCAGCTCTCCCAGCCTGGCTTCAGAACAGAGGGGCTCCAGCCCTTGGAGCATCTCCCTCACTTCCTCTGGACTCACTCCAGTAGGTCCATGTCCTTCTGAAGTTGTTGTGGACCCCAGAGCTGGAGGTAGCATTGCAGGTGTGGTGGGGTAGAGGGGCAGAGTCCCCCACTCCCCTGCTGCCCACGCTGTGGGATCAGCCCAGCGCATGGTTGGTTTCTGGGTCCCACCACACACAGCTGGGACATGTCCAGCCTCTCACCCATGAGCACCCCCAAGTCCTTCTCCCCAGGGCTGCTTCCATCTCGTCGTCTCCGAGCCTGGATTGGTACCAGGGGTTGCCCTGGCCCAGGTTCAGGACCTTGTACTTGGCCTTGTTGAACTTCATGATGTCTGTACAGGCCCACCTGTCCAGCATGTCAAACTCCCTCTGGATGGCCTCTCTTCCTTCCAGCACACTGACTGCTATAAATCCAGATTCCAGCTTCACAGTTGCATGAGAGTCAAGACGATTATTGGGCAATAACAAACAGATAATGATTTGCTGGATTTTTTTAAAGTAGTGAATGAACTCAAGCTTTTTTATTACAAAATAGAATAATCAGTATTGTTTGCTAGATGTGTGAAATAACTGAAATATTTTACAGGTTAGGCTATTTTATCCAAAAGGAATATCTTTAATAAGAAGTGCTAATAATACTCCCTCTGTACATATTCGGTGTACTGTGCCTCTTACAGTGTTTTATTGTAAACAAATCACATTATCTGAAAGATGCTAAACAAAAATTATATGAGAAGGCTTTCACAATTCCAAAATTGGGAGTATCTACTGAGTGCAGGGTTTAGAACCTTGGGAATAATCTGTTTATCCTGTTAATACAACAAATGAAAAAAAAATCACAAACCAAAATCAAATACAAAACATATAAAGCATTCCTCTGTAAATGCAATTGTCCAGTAGGCTTAAAGATCTGACTACACAAAAAAAATAAATAAAATTTCCTAACAGAATCATGAAGCACCAGAAAAAAAAAAAGAATGGCAATTCAGTCAATACCTAAAGCAGAGGAATCCACTGTGCTCTAGGAGTGTTTCTTCCATGAGGCACTATTGTAATGTGTTCTCTACCCTCACAGATAGTGTTGCATTGGCCGTAATAAACAGCAGCCATGTCGACAGACGCCGAGATGGCCATTTTTGGGGAGGCAGCTCCTTACCTCCGAAAATCGGAGAAGGAGAGAATCGAGGCCCAGAACAAGCCTTTTGATGCCAAGTCATCTGTCTTTGTGGTACATGCAAAGGAATCCTATGTGAAAAGCACAATCCAGAGCAGGGAAACAGGGAAGATCACAGTCAAGACTGAAGGGGGAGAGGTGAGTAAAATGCAAGATTTACAAACAGCATTTCCTTCCCATTGTGGATTCTTAACTGACATCCATTCATGTCCCTTCTTGCCCTCTGACAGACCCTGACTGTGAAGGAAGATCAAATCTTCTCCATGAACCCTCCCAAGTACGACAAAATCGAGGACATGGCCATGATGACCCACCTCCACGAACCCGCTGTGCTGTACAACCTCAAAGAGCGTTACGCAGCCTGGATGATCTACGTAAGTGGCAGCAGCAGCTTCCTTTGGGCAGCTGCAGGAACTGCTCTGCCAGGCCCAGGGGAAGCCAAC